CATGGAATTTTGCTGGAACTAGTTTGACCGGATGATATATCTGAGATAAAAATTTTGAGGAGCATTTTGGAGCTGAAATTTAAATTCAAGGGGTTTGTTTTTGAATCCTCAAATTCAGTTAGCAAGAAAGCCCGACGAGATTCACTGTTAGGACTCCTGATCAAAGGTCTTCCCTGATACTCATTCATACTCGTAGGTTATTGATAAACCTTTTTTCCTCAACAAAGAGTGTTTCACTGTATTCTTCAAATTGGAAATGTCATGTTTAGTCTTCATTTTTCAAAGAATAGGTTGTCACTGGATATGAAGTTTGTAAGGATACCTCGGACGTCCTGCTACACTTTTTTAATGACCAAGATAACTCATAAATTTAGTTCTTTTCGGTCATACAATTGCATAACAACTACAGTAGATATATCCGCACCTAATCCTTTATTCTCGAGATTATTGTCCAAATAGACACGTCATATTCTGATTATCTCATTAAGCAGATTGCGTGGATATCTCATTAAAACCTATAAATACCTTCAGGAACCACCTCAAAAAGGTAATTGAAACCGATTTAAAGTTTCTTTTACCATAATTCTTAAAAGTAAATCAAATTATTATTGACTTAAGTATCGGAATGTTTACCTCAATAATCCACCTTGGGGCGTTGCAAGTCGATCTGAAGAGAAGACTTGGACTGAAGGGAGCTACCGGTTTATTGCAGTTTATTGCAATTACAAAGTTGTTAAGAAAATTGGGATGACCAAGTTGCAGGCAGAGTTGTAGATCTCAAATCTATATGGGCTGGAATTGGAAATTAGAATTTAACGAAATAGAAGAGTAACATTAATTATCAACAGTCCCAGTCACTATTCGTCCAATCTTACATCTCCCACGTACAAACCAGGTGAACCAGGGACACATATCTCCAAATCTACTAAAGCCCGTTGGGCCTGATCCCACTACAACTAATTAGTTTGCCCGGCACCATTACTGTTTCTTCCGAAGAAGGCGCCTGGTGATTGGTGAAGCTAAATAGAGCTAACATATAGGCTATAGAGTCATTCTCCAGCCTAGGAGACAATATCATATGCCATTGCCAACATCAACATGCATACAATCCTTCTTTGACAAACTCGTCACAATCATCAAGAAACATTGCATCTAGGCAAAAAAAGTTTAGAGCTTAATTTCAAGCCTAATCATAATTATAACCAATCGAGTGCAAAATGTGAATTGACTGAATAAGTGTTTATCCAACGGTAGAATGAGAGGTCCAGAAATTTGGAATTGACGCTCCAACTTGCAGAAAAGTAGTAAAACAAAATAAGGAAACCGCCCGCATACCATATAGGTAGATCAACTGCGAGGACCAAGGTAAACCCTTTTCTAAGTTAGTTGGATTAGGATAAACTCCACGGTGAGTATGTTGATGACTAACCTCCCTTTGGTTCAAGGAAGAGACTAGAATATAAAGAAAATTAACGTAAAATAGAAGAAAGTTACTCCCCCTCGCCTTGCTTTCTAATTTTTTATTATTCAAATAAAAAAATTTCTATTCATTGTTTTTTCTTGATTTCTAAAATCAAATAAGTTATAATTTTTTTTTAGTATTAAATTTTTAATATTAAAAAATCATATTAAATTTTGATTAATATTGCGAAGTTGAATTTTTTCGAACTTTATAAAAAGTAATTCTCCTAATATCTTTTTTTTTATTAATAAAATTCAAATTTAAATTTTTATTTGAAAAATACCAAACTCATTTCATTTGTATCGATAATTCGTTTGTACCGAACAATTTATAATAATTTAAGAGGTCATAATCCCCAGCCATGTGGCATGTTTTGCAGATAAAGGAATTAAAGAATGTAAGCCTTTCCTAATTAAGGATCCAATGTTAAATTAAGACCGCGCCAAAACGGAGAAGGGATGAAATTTATCTGTAAAACCATCATCCTAGATAAAGGAAACCTATTGACTTATGCACATTCAAAATTGAATTGAAGAATCTTTTCTAGTATTATTTCCTGTTTAATGCAGATGGTTTTTCTTCATTAATATTTTGATTCCACTCCTAATTAACTGTTTTCAACAAAAATTCATGAACAAAATGTAAAATTAAGGGTGAAGAGTTGTTTTCACAACTTAATCACTCGAAAATGTTGGCTACATTTGGATTATCTGATCCAATCGCCGTTTCTTTCAATCAATGCCGAGTAAGTAAATGAAAGGCATAAATAAATTAAAGAAAATGCTGAGCGAAAAGAAAAAAAAAGAAGCAAAAAAGAGAGAGCTGATGAGTAATTAATGGTGACTGCAGACTCAAAATTACTAAGCAAATTAAGGTCTGAATCTGACTTGAGTGACGGCGGCCACCAACTACCACTGCATCAGTGCATGCATCTTCATCTTGCTTCATACCGGCGATTAATTTAATCAGCCGGTATTTTAGTATCGGACAAAGAAAACGAAAAACTTAAATTATAAAAAGCACTCTCAGTTTATAGTGAGAATATATTTTGGTCCACCAAATTTAAATAATTATATGTATGCAAATTGTTCCTTTCTAATAACAGGAAAGAATCTTACAGAACCAAACCACTGGTGGCCGGCCTGCAAGCAAGCAAGCAAGTCTTAGTCATGTCAAAGTAAAGACATTGTCCGGAGTTGTCTTTTTTTTTTCTTTTTTTTTTTTTTTGTTTTGTTAAATTCAAGAATCAAAGGTCAAAGAACCCTAGAATTAATTGTGTATCAAAACCTGATCAAGTCATTATTTTTTTATTTCTTTGATCAAGTCATTCTTAGTCTTTAACTTATATTATGGTTTCGGAAATGGTCAAGAAAATTCATGTTTGAAGAAGATGGATCGAGAGGGTGAGGGTGAGGGTGATAAAGTCATTTTGTTTATTTTTATTTTTTGTTAAAATATAAATATTCATATGTGGTATTTTATTTGTTTATGCAATATAATTATAAGATATTTTATTGCCCACATCATCAAAAGATTTAAAAGAAAATGCCACGTGAAATTATTTAATAGCCACGTCATACTTAACTAACGGAAGGATTAACGGAGTACATTTTTTAGAGTTGAGGGATCAAAAAAGTGCAAAAAATTATTGAGAGACCAAAAATGTGTAACTCACTAAAGTTGAGAGACCAAATTTAACATTTAGCCAATTAATTATGTATCAAAACTTGATCAAGTCATTCTTAGTCTTTAACTTATATTATGGTTTTGGAAATGGTCAAGAAAATTCATGTTTGAAGAAGAGAAAACTGAAAGAGGACGGTATTACCATGGCAATCCCTTTCATATATGTATTTAACAATTTGTTTTTCTAAACATTCTTGTTTTCCAATCATTTTCAAAATCAATATGCATTTTTTTATTCCTTAAAAATATGGTGAAATCATCAACTACTTCATTGTCAAGAAATTGATTTAAAAACCATTTCCTGAAAAAGATCGGCCAAACATTTTTCTTTTTATAGAAAATTGTCATTTTCGTGGAATTTTTAAATAAAAATTTTTCATTTTGAACCAAACCTTCATGCTAACCCTAATTACCATCTTATTATTATTATTCTAACTCCAAAGACGGTGTAGTGGGAAGAACGCGTCAACACGTGGCGCCAAAAACGGTTACGACATGCCGTTCAACCAAATCATCTTATTATTATATGTAAAAAAAAAAAAATCATCTTATTATTATTATTATTAATTTTTTGGTCTGCTAAATTTTATTTAAAATAAATAATTAATTAATTAAGTGAAAAGTAAATCTTTTTTTGTTTTTTTTGTTTAATGAAAGCGGAAACCAAATCTTCACAGCAAATGATAAATCCAAACAGCCACAATTGATAAAGAAAAATAATTCAAGAATGATTTTTTATATTATTTTTTAGAATAATTTTAT